GAGTGCTGGTATGATCCTGTTACACTATGTCTTACTTCAGGGATGTCGAAATCTAGCTCCGGCAGTAGAGCAGGTAGCCTTAGAGGAGTCTTCTTCAGCACAGGCCGGAGACGGGATCCCGTGGAGGGGCTGGCAGGGGCAGGCGTCCCCCCTTTTTGCAGGGGAGTGTTAGGGGGCAGCCTTTTGTCGAAAAACTCCGGGGACAGAGGCAGCCCGAAGCGCACCCTCTTCTTCTCTCGCCGCGCTGTGGAGCCGCCCAGCGTCTCCGTCTCATCTGCGCCAGGAAAGAGCGACCAGTGAGCAAAACGGGGCAGGCACGTCCAGCGAGGCCCGTGCGCTGGGGGTTCTCTACACGATTCAGCCAGGGCTTGACCAGCCTCACCTGGGCGCGCTGCCTGGACAGGAGTCAGAGCAGGGAAGGGGACAGGGGCGGGCCCTGGGCAGCGGGTGGCCTTGGACACCAGGGACGGCGAGCGGAAGGGGCTCTGCCACGGCCAGTCCCCCCGCGCGGCTCCCTCCTCAGCGACAGTCCGACTGCTCCCGGGGGTCTTCCAGCCGTCACGCTCTGCACAGGAGAAACAGCCAGCGGTGACTCCCCGGCACACCGGCTCCAGAACGGCACTGCGCCGCCGGAAGGGGACGCATCAGTGCACGTTTCAGGAAAGACACCTTCAGGTCAGAAAAGAAAAATGACGAGCATTTCAGGCCAGAGACGCCTGTGGTCACCCCACACGTACTGACCCGAGACCGTGCTGCCGCCGGCCCCAGCCCCGCTCCCCGTCTCCGCTCGGGCCGGGGTCTTCCTGACACGGGCTCCTGACTGGCCCGGGGAGTGCGCAGCCTGCGGGGAGAGGGGGAAAGGAGGCCGTCAGGCTCAAGCCCTCCCAGAGCCTGAGTAACAACCCTGTGAATTTCTGCCTAGTGCGAAAAACAAACTAAAAATGGTCATTTTGTTTCAGCACTACGACTACCAGCTCATAAAACAAGAAAATGGATTAAGCTGCCAGGGAATGGGAGTGTAATTTAACGCATCGTCTCTCTCCTGCTTGTCACGATACACCTATACAGTGTTTTCCATTCGCTGGTTAACACAGGTCAGAGGCCGATTGAAAACCCATTGGACCAAGGGAGAAGACTGACAACAGGGAGCAGCCTTAACATACAGATCGGGATTCTGATGCTTCAGCTGAACTCAAATGACCCCCCTCCCTGGTTCAGGAGTCCTGCCCCTTGCTGGGGAAGGGCACACAAAGCGCAGAGGTGAGTCTCCATGCAGAACTGGACAGCTTATTGTTAAGAGGGAAAAAAAATGGGTCTGGGGTTCTAAACCGAATACACATGTGTCATTGGGTTTGGGTGAAATTGAGTTACAAGAAGGATGACGAGGTGTCTAGTGTTTTGCCACAGTGGCCCTGTGCAGAAATGCAGTGTACAATGCGCACTGCGCACCGCGGGCAGGTCGAGCACCTCCTCCTCTTCCTCGGCGAGGCCGGCGCTCCAGGTGCTGGGGCCTCTCCGGTAGGGGGTCCGGCCCGGCGAGCGGGAGTCTCCAGCGCCGCCTTCCTTCATGTCGTCTGCGCGGGTGTCCAGGCGCTGGCGCTTGGGAGAGGGCAGCATCTCCGGGAGCCTGTTCTCCTTTCCCTGCAGCACACCCTTCCCATCTGAAATCAGACAGCACAGTCAGGCTCGGATACCACCGGGAGAGGAGGCACAGAACCGCGAAGCTCCTGCGACAGGTCCCAATGTAAAAACACGATCGCAGGTCATGCTGGCACTCTGCAGAAATATGTATGTACAAAATAGGCATGATACACATGCCCTTATACCAGATCCTTCATGGGATGCACAAACACGGATTCCTTGCCAGTTTAAAAAAAACCCACAAAACCCTGGAACTCTACCATACTGATCAAGGCAGAACAGGGAAATCCATATTCCTAGAGCCTGTCTGAAGTTGGGCTTTATGAAAGCAGGATGAGCTGTACCACACAAAATAGCTTCACTCAAACTGACTACCGCTGGAACACAGCAAGAGAACGCTCCCCCATAAGTGTACTAAAAACTGACACTTGGAATAAAGAATTCAGTTTAGTAAATGAGAGCTTTAAGGCTGCTGGCAAATTTCACCTCACCCCCAACACCCTACCTTTTATATTGCTGAACGTACCTAATGCAACCAGCAATAATCATGACTTGCAAAGACAGAGAGAGACAGAGAAGGACATTGCTCAGATTAAACCCAGTTTGTATAGAATCCGATTGCTGTGATGTACTTTGCCACTGTGTTGCCTCTGCAGAGCTGAAGGCTGTGGCCCAGTGGGACAAGAACTGGCTCCCTGCTGAAAAACGGTCTGTTCTTCCAGAACAGAGAGAAACAGGACAACAATGTCTGTACAACACGAGTGAGACAGGTGAGACGTCTCGGGATATACACAGGCAGGCCATGAAAACCACAACAGATGCTCTTGGTTCTAATACTCATTGGATTCATGGTTAATGACGCCGAGAGCGTGTAAATTGTGGACAGTGATCTTACTCTGGGTCTCCTTCAGGTCATCTTCCCCTCTCTGGTCTCCCAGCTGGGGCTCGGTCTGGTCGGTCTCATCAAGGGACTCTAGGCAGCTCTGGAAGGACTTCATCTTTTGGTGCAGCGCAGAGGAGTGAGGAGAGAAGGGGCTGGCCTGAAGGTGAGGACACGAGTGTGTTTCAGTCTCAGGGCATATAAACTAATGATTTTTATTTATTTTTAGATAAATGCAAACCACACAGCCGTGCAATAGCACCTGGAGAACTACACTAACAATCGGTCACTCCTTCTTTCTGTGATATTAGTTAAAAAGAAATGCCAAAGCTTTTACAGCAGGATACAGCTGAGACCCTGAGGCTTTACTGAATTACTGTTAATTATTCACACTAGTGTACTCACTAAAGAAAATTCTAAACAATCACCAGGTAATAAATAAATGTAGCACATTTAATCTGCTTATGGCCTCGAAACTAAAGTTTTCACATTCAGTACCAGTTTAAACACTTTTTGAAGCTCCACATTGTTTCAATGCAAAAATGCATTAATGTACTTAAAATTTCATATGCTGTTTATGTTCTAGTCATTTTAATATTAGATACACAGCAGCCTGTGAAGTCTCACTAGGCCCTGCACCCAGGCTGGTCAGACCTGGTGAGGGCTGGCCTTGGACGGGTTGGTCCGTCGCTGCAGAGCGATGTAGCAGATCAGGGAGTTGGTCTCGGGGGATCCCCTCACGCCAATGGTGGACCTGCGCCTCGCCTTCAGCTGGGACAATCGAGACTTATCTGAGGTGGGGGGGGTCACAGGGACAAAGAGAGAGGTAAGAGGATGAGCACAGAAATAAAAAACGCTTACTCAAAAATATGTACAACAGCATGAGGAATCACCAGACTGTCACAAAGACAGCGATTCAAAAGGAAATTAGAAACCCTGGTATGAAATCAATTAGAAATCCAGGTTGTGTGGGGAAAAACGGGAAGTTTGATTTGACATATGTTCTTATTAAGAGGACAGTTTGCACTGATGGGAAAGAACACGTAACAAACGGAAAAACACAAGAAATTACGTGCATTGTCCCCATCTTTATACCATCATCAGCAAGGATAAAGCTGAACCCTTGACTTGAATCTTGCCCTCATGCAGGACATCGAAAGACTGAGAGAGTTCGATTCACCGAGCTCCAGTGTCAGTTTCAGCCCAGCTTTCCGTGTTCTTCCACAGAGGGTTTAACGGAAGAGACCAGTTTTTAACACAGCGAGGCCAAGCTACAGCGTGCCAGCAGTAACCTGGCCACGGAGATGTAACAGTAACAGTGCAACTGAGAGCCACGAGCGTCATCACTGTTACAGTACGAGACTTTTAACTACTGCCACATGTGCCAAGTAAAAGGTATGTTTTTAAATGGGTATATAAATCTCTTAGCAGATGTCCATGTGTAACAAGACTCAGTACAACAAGCATGTTCCTGAAACGACATCGCCCCCTCGAAACCTAGACACTGGAAGACTCCTGCAGCAGAGGGCCGGGCTGTGGCATTGTTCGTGCTCGGAGCCCGCGGGTGACCGGGATCGGACCCCCGCACGGGCATAGCACTGCTGCTCGTTACATACTGCATGGAAAAAACACTCCCAACAGCGCCAATGTAAGGGGGGTATCTGCTCTGTACGCCAACAACTCCTGGCAAGGCATTCAGTCCTGAAGCAGCCCATCCCGAGCAGAAGACGAATCGTGGGCACGAGCCCAGCTGCGGCACGCCCCGTTTGTCCTCACCTCTGCCCTTCGAGGCCGGCATGAAGCTCTGAGAGCTAATCCCCATGTCCGCCGGGGTCAGCTGGGTGAAATCGAGGGGCGGGGGGGTGCTGTACTGCCCAAGGGCGGGCTGGGGGAGCGGAGGGCAGTGGGCCGAGAGATCCCCAAGGCGCCCATCGTCCTCGTGTGGAGCTGCAGGGTTGGCCTCCGCACCTGCAGCACACAGCAACACCACCGGTCAGTTCACTGGCACAGGGAGGGGAGTGGTACCTCATCGGTCACTCGGACCCCTGGGACAGCGGGCACAGCGGACAGGTCACGCTCGTCTGTCTTTCCGAGACTGTTCACCCCCCCGCACACACTCTCCAACTCCTGAGCCGCAGCTGGATCAATTCAAGGGAAACTGCAATGCTATTTTAATATCTCAGGGTTAGAAAGAATCAGCATTGACGAGTGCACTTCAAACTGCAACACCGTAAATGGTAAAAACCTCTAATTTACATCACAAAACAGACAATATCTCCAGGTATCCGCAGCGCCATATTCTGAGACTCAGAACAAGGCAACAAGACTTCCATTGACAGGATCGGTTCTATTACACTGTAAACAAGCAGGCTAGTGAATACACCTCTTTCAATCCAATAGAAATATTGCCTTTGACTTTGAGATGGTTTTGTTAACAAATACTACTTACTTGTTAACTCTGCATGCAGATCATGCTGGAACTTTTTTTGTGGCAAAATGTCTTCTGTACTTATTCACTCGCACATCACATTACATGAGTGAGTGAGTGAGTACAGTGACTAGTGAGCAGGAAGGGCCACTTCACGTCACAACTCGTGGGAACTCGAACTCTTGCTCATGGTGAGGCCAGGGGTTTGCAACAGCCTGGCGACTTACAGTACTTCCACAAACTTCACAGTTTTACGCTCAAGTCTTAATTTGTAAAATGTCCTACAACGTCAATTAATTTATTTTGTTGCCCGAGAAACTGGGACTGCAGTTCCCCTTGAACCACACAAACAACGTGACGGCACCGCTTATTGCTCTCCAACTCTGGAGTCTCGCAGGGTAGCTGCCATCTTTACAGCAGGCAGGTAATCAGGCACTAAGACTTAGCTAATGACACACACTTGCTGCTTCAGTTGTTGATATAATATAACTGTATTACACACATGCACTATTACTTAAGCTGCCGCCAGCAGGAGGGTGTTATGGATCAGGGTCAAAATGCCTGATAAAAGCTTGTTTCCACATGACAACAAATCCTAGCCAACAGCAACAGTCAACACAACTATTGACTAAGGAGAGCATCCACAGATGTATACAAGCAGTCCACATGCACTAATGCAGCATTCGTGAGAGTAAAATCCACTCTTCTTTATTAGCTGTCTCATACAAGAGCCTGCAGCTGGTCAGCCTGGGTAAAAGCAGTCTGACCGCTGTCTCTGCGTGAGGTCACACTGGTACTTACTTGAAAGCGAGGACTGGTTGCATGACGGGGGTAACTGGACAGAGCACGTCAGGTCAGAGGTCATTCTGCAAACACGCGGACATTCCACAGCAGGCTGCGCTAGAGCGATACACTGAAAATAAAAATGTAATCCTGACTTCTTAGTTCTTTGATACTCCAAGGGCAACAACTACATTTACTGCACTGCTACATTCACAGCTATTAGCAAAAGAAAAGGGCGAGGTGTTTCATTTTTGAATACTATTAGAATCACACATCATAACGCCTTCTATTAAGGACACATCTGTAACTACTGGTGTGGCTTCTACTACATTCACAGCAGGACGTCACGAAAGACAACACAGGGCCTATTCCTGCTGTAGAACAGGATTGAAATCAGGGTCGCTGCTCACATAAATATATCACACAAGATGAGACTCAACAGACGTGATGTTCGCTCATTTTATTCCAAAACACAGTTACAGCTTTAGTTTGAAAAACTCCAAAGCTTTTATGAAGCATTTGAATTTTGAAATGCAGCAGGCCAAATGCATATAAGGGAAACTCATTCACAAATTGTGCCATTAACTGCTTTAGCATACATAATCGAACGCGCGCATCAACAAGTAAGGCGTGTTGGAGAGAATACAGGGTTCTCTTTACACGCTGAATTATTGTAACAGTAGCGGCTTGCACAGCTAACTGCGAACTACAAAAACAACGCTGTATTTCGTGGCGTGAAAGAGAAGGCTCCTACCTTTAAAAACGCAGTTCGGTTTTTCAAAAAATACGATGCAAATAAATTAAACCAAATAAAATAAATACAACCAAGCTCCTCGACGTTTACCGATCACACAGGACACAATTCAAACTGCGCTCCAGCACTCCTTACACCTCCGCATGATCAGTATCCCTCCGCCATCGCAATATTACCTATCGTGTTCTCGCTTCAGAACAAGGGAGAAGAAGCCACCTACATCCCTAATTTACCCTTTTACAAAATATGTGAGGTTTACGCCAGTGTGTTATAATAAAATCATTTTTAAATAAGGTCGATAGCGGCCTATTTCTTTTAGTTTCATATGTTCCTCAACGGAAACCCACTGTTGTTCCGCGGCTCGCGTCTGCTCTATTACCCGGAATTCTTGCTTACAAATTATCCAATCAGATAGCGAAGTGAGAGTCACGTGTGACACGGCTAACCAGTGAGATGACAGGAGGTGAATTTGATATTTTAAAGAAGTACTGCTCTCTCTACAGTGCGAGATACAGTAGTTCAATGGCGCAGTGTGGCATTTTAATGTACATAACCTTAAAAGTTGGCCCATCAGCCTCTTTTGTTTGCTAGTGTGCGGCCCTTTCTTGAAGACCAGCAGAGAATCAGCTTCACTAAGGTGGTTTGGCAGTTTGTTTCATACTCCCTCTACAAATACTGGACTGTTTACAGTCACTTCCCTTTAGAGAATTACTTGTCTTCTCTGATGTTACACCTTTGATCCTGAAAAACTGTGCTGGGTTGACGTTGACCTCTTGAAGAATCAGGTCCCCTTGTGTCCATTCAAAACTGAAGAGGTGCCCTTTATCTGTTAGGCTTAAGACACACAGTGCATACCAAACTTTGGATCTACCTGATCTTTTCATCTTGAAAAACCATTTTACCAATGCATACTCCTTTATACGCTGGAGGTGTGACTCCTGGTCCTCTGGTCTGCAGGCGCCAAATATGGAATTGAGCGCTCTCCCCTGTTTTCCCTGTCAGTGTGTCAGCGCGTGGTGAAGGAAGCAGCCAGGGAAGATTGCAGAATCACAGGGGTCTTTTGTCTTTCATCTTAATCTTAACTCAATAACAGGGAGGAAGAGTGCAGCATTCATTAACATCACTTTTTTATAGGGGGGAAGAAGGGGAAGAAGGGGAGAATGAGCAGGGAGAGGTGCAAAAAGAAAGGGAAATAATCTCTGCAGTCCATGACCGGGGGGCTCAGGGATTGCTGGGAGTCTGGCGATATCTTGTCCATAG